GTTGCATTTTCATGAATCAGATCAGTAGGTGTGACAGGTCACTTCGATCGACTCGACTATCAGTTCTTATCGACTCTGATATGAGATGATCAATTTGTAAATATATGTATAAAATGAAAATAGGAATATTTACAAAATTTCTAGCCACAATTTTATTTATTGCGGAGTATTTTTTTTAACTTCACCTTGAATATTAATTGTGTAATTCCTTATTATTATAGGTTTACAAGAACACCATAAGAGATGAGGCATTGTCAAAAGATGAAATTGTTGAAGTTCAGGATGCATGGGCCATCTATGTTTGTGATAATTTATTGTGAACATTATTATACTATATTCTATAAGTAAAGAATGTATTCTTGGACTAAATTTTTGTTGTATTGGATCATTGGATGTGTATGAATGTATGATGTTTTTGTGATACTTGATAAGTGACATTGTTGGTGATTCATTTATTATATACGAGTATCTAGAAAAGAAATTGTGTTTCCTTTATATAAAGGTCTTGTTGTGGTGTAAAATATGGTTAATTCTCTATTTGCAATTTTAATAAAAAAAGGCAATTCATATTAGTGTTTTGTAGGAACAAAAACGAAAAAAACATAAAAAAAATCAGCGTAACAGAAACGGTTGCAATGTGTAGATTTTGAAAAGAGGATTTGCAGCGGTTGTTCATAACCGCAGCAATAAGTTTTTTTATTCAAAATTATAAAAGAGTATTTGCTGCGGTTGTGAACCGCAACAAAAAGTTAAATCCACATATTGTTGCTCCTTCAATTGCTGCGGTTCCGAACCGCAGCAAATAAGCAAAAATAACTGCAGCAAATAGGCTTTTTTCTGGTAGTGTATTATTGTGGCCAGGCTGATGTTTTCTGGTGCCAGGCTGATGATTTTTGGGCTCGATTTACTTTTCGTTTTGCTTCTTTCTTTCTTTTTCGTAATTGTAATACTCCATTGATGTGTAATACGGAGTGTATCTGTAGGAGTTTATAATGTTAATTGTTTATTTATCAATACTTATTTTAATTCATTTTAAAGTATTACCCTTGGTATGTGAGCTTTAATTTACACCACCAGCGTGATTGATAGATAAAGCTTTAATAATACATGGTTAACAACGTGTTTTTTTTCCTACAAAGGTAATGACTTTTTATAGTATTGAATTTACATTATTTCTAACAATGTCATTTTTTATAATGATTGACATTGTTATTGACATTATTACAATGTAATTTTTAATTATAGCATTGTCGTTTTTATAACATTGTCATTGACATACTGCCATTGTCACGACTGTGTCACATGTTTTGATAATAACAGTGTCATACAATGACATTGTGATGTAATAAAATTGTAGTACATTATTTTTCCATAAAATAGTATGACGTATTTTATAGGTTTGACAATATTTTTAACAATGTCATTTTTATAAAGAAGTGACATTGTGATATAATGTCACTTTTATGGCATTGTCATATAAGAAATTGTTTTTATACATGACATCATACTATATTGTCATTTAATGACATTGATGTTTAAACAATGTCATCGTGCTCCATGCCATTTAATGATATTAATTTTTATACAATGATATTATATTACATTGTCATATAATGACATTGACTTTCAAACAATGACATTGTATTACATTGACATATAATGACATTGACTTTTAAACAATGACATTATATTACATTGTCATATAATGACATTGTCTTTTAAACAATGACATTATATTATGTTGTCATATAGAGACAATGACATACAAGCATTCCCATTCTTGATCTTCCAATGATATTAATTTTCAAATAATGATATTATCCTACGTTATCAAATTGTCATTGTAATGTATAATGTAGTAAATTTTTACAATGTAATTTCATGACATTGTCCAAAATCAGGGCCGTAGATGAGGGCGTGCAAAGCGTGCCTCTGCACAGGGCCTCAAAAAATATAAGGCCCATTTTTTTGTAAAATTTATATAGTGTATATATAGGGTAATTATTTTTGAAAATAGTTGATTACTTTATTTGACCGAATGATCTAACTATTCAGGTTATTCAACTAAAGGTAAAAAATTCACTTTCTCTTATACTATTTTGAGTATTTTCATTCGTTCATTTCCGATTTTAGATTTTTTTAATAATTTTATTTGTTGAAGTTCGAAAAAGTGATCATTTCTCAATCTCACATTTGTTTGTAATTTTTTTTGGGTTTTTTAAGGTTGATTTTTGGTATTGTATTGATTTAATATAAGGCCTATTTTTTGTGACTCGCACCGGGTCTCCTAATTTATTGAGCCGGCCCTGTCCAAAATATTGCAACAAAACCCAACAACATCAAGGCAATGTTATTAAGATTAAAGTACTAACTATGTTAAAAAAATTATCATGATAAAAGGTGTTTGACAAAACAAATAGTGAAGTAGTTTTTGAAAAACGAATTTCATTCTGTAATGTAAAATAAAATAAAAATAGAAAAAGTAATACTCCGTACTTAATAATGGAGAAATTCAAAAGTAAAACAATGCAAACAATCTGGCACTACGTATACGACGTGAGACTAGCAGAACATTTGAACATTGACAACTCCTTTATTTATGCTACAGTGTAATACCTCATATCAATGACAATAATAATATCCCTAATAATTAATCAATTAATTATATAATACTCCACTGCAATTATTTACAGATGCACACTCCATCCCCACTGCAATTATTTGCTCGGTTTACCATTGCAATTTTCAGCCATAATATGACTTATTTACATATCTGGTTTGCTTCAGCAGACATATTTCAGAATCTTTTGGTACATTAGATTTGAACAATTATGGACCTGGACAAGAAGAGTTGTTGCCTGTCAAGTTTAACCATGGGAGAACATTTCGAGAATAGGATTGGACAGCAATTGCGGCGGCAATGACGGAGATCGAGAGGTACATCGGCAACGATGAGGTGTGGAGGCGGCATGGTCGAGGTACGGCGGAGGCGGCATGGTCGAGGTACGGCGGAGGCAGCAGGGGCGCCGACGAGATGCGGCGGAATCAGTGAGGTACGGTGGTGGCAATGATGTGTTGTGGCGGTATGGTGGACCGGTGGTATTGGAGGAATGGAGCTGCTAGGTGTGAGGGATAGCTGTGTGTAATTTTGTATTGTAATCCGTATGCCCGTAAGTGAACAACTGAACAAGCAGCTATTTGAAGGTACTTTTAATGTGAGGGTGAACTTGGCAATAAGTTCAAATTTAGTCCTATTTACGTATAAAAATCTCGCCGGTCCTATTTAGTGTTAAGGAGTATGTTTTGCTCCTATTTGAGTCTATTTCCCTATCTTATACTCCCTCCGTCCCGCTATTAACTTCCTGCTTTCCTTTTTGGGCCTTCCCAAAATCATCTTCTCATTTCCCTAAATGGGAAGTTATCCTACATCAAAACAGTGTCAAACAGTGCAAAACAGTGTCAAACAGTGTCTAAATAGTGACAAACAGTGCCAAACAGTGTCTAAACAGTGTCAAACAGTGTCTAAACAGTAAAGTCAAATTTATTTCCTAAATATGTGTGTAGGTCAAAGTAGGAAGTTAATAGCGGGACGGAGAGAGTATGTAATTCTCTCCTCTCACTATGTTTGGGATAAGAGGGAGTGACACAACTTTAAAAAAAATGAAATGCAGCAATTGAAATTGAATTAATAAAGTGTGAATAAAGTGAAAATGAATTGTAACCATCCAAATAATACCAAATATGGTACGAGACAAAATTAACGGGACGGACGAAAAAGATAAAACGAAACAAATTAGGAGACGAGCGAGTATTACATACGATTATTATCAATAACTTCATTATACGAACATTTTCAAATTTGAATCCGTGTATAAATACATTAAGTATAATGAATTACTCACGGGTATAAATACTAAAGGGTGGACTGTTAGTCCGTGTCCAGCACGGGTTGCAGGAAGGAAAATACGTGTAGATAAACTGGCTGATGCAACGCACGAGCTACAAAGGGACTCACAACATTTGCACACAACATCTGACTTGTCGAATCAGATTTTGTAGGAAGATGCTTATGGCTTAGAAAGTCTTAATAACACGTTTCAGATCCACCCTAATAACACATTTCAGTTTCAATGATAATTCTGTGAGGGACAACTAATTTATGCATGGTTAAATGGTAATGATCGTTTGATGCTTAAACAAGATACAAAACAACTATTCAAAAACATATGTCCGAACCAACTAGGAGCATATTTACATATGCCATCAACTCTAAAGTATAATGTACATCTTGTTCATTAAAAAGGCTCTAATTACTTATCTTCCCTGCAGCTTCTCGAAGTTCGTACGTAACCATGTTGGCCGGCATGAGAAATAAAAGAAAATCGATCACGAGTCAAGTACAAGTTGTGCATGTCTTTTGAGATCATTCAAGTACTTTGTCAAGTTATACTCCTCTGCGTCAAAGAGTTCTTCTGAGTAGGTTCTTCGGAGTGTGTGTTTTTTGTTTTCTTTTGAGCTACTTTTATTGAGATCTTTGCCTCTCAGCAGAATTACAACCTGTATACACAAGAGGACAATAACCAACACTATATATACATAGCTCACTTCTACTATCCACACCAATTCTGATGGCCTCCTAGGTTTCCAGCATGGTTAATTTCCCTGAAATTCTTTATTTTCATTTTTATAAAAAAGAAATATTTTGGCAATGCTTATGTAAGTAAAGTCACCTTTCAAAAGTTGTTATCCATAAAAAATGTGTTTTCAACTATTCAAGAATAGGGAACGAAATAACCAACTAACACAGAGAACTTATCTCTTGGATCAAATCACGAATTTAAGACACTAAAAACTTCCTAAACTATTTAGCAACCTGAACTTCATCTACTCTAACAAGTATTAATGTATTATTTCATGATATAGAACCTACTTTTGATCCTTATTTTACAATATATATTTGAAACATTAGATTACTGTAATTTATATTAGTATTTGTGCATTATAATGGCAAAACATTTATAGAAGACTGTGAAAGTCAATCTGAACTTTCATTTTGTGATGGAGGTAGTAATTTTTACACGGGAAAACTATCAAATTGGCCCCCGTAGTTTTCAAAAAAATCAATTAAGCCCCCGAACTAAAAACACAATCAATTGAGACCTTAAACTTTACAAAAAAAACTCAAATGTGTAATCTAGTAGGTATGCTTTGGGCCATCCAGTCATTATGCTTACGTGGCAGTCCAAATAGATTATTTTAATCATTTTTTCTTTTACTCTTTTTTTCATCTTCTTCGGCCGCCCCTAATCCCCCATTCTTCTCCACCTACTTCTTCTGCAATCCCCAATCCCCCATTCTTTTACACCTTCCTTTTCGAGACAAGCAAATAGGAGAATAGAACAAAATCCTTTCTCCCCTGCTTCTTTTTCATCCAGACAAGGAATTATGACAGCCCTCCCCATGCTTCTTACTTCTCCCAGGCAAGAAACTATGGCGCCATGGATTTCAGATAGATCGATGTCGTCGATTTCAAAGGCAACAAGAAGAAGTCGTCAGTGATATCCCACACTAATTTGTACTGTCTCGCCAATGACCTGTGTTGAAGACGAAGTCGTCTCCTTCGAAGAGGAAGCTCAAGAGCTCTGCCGCCCAAGCCGCCGGCAAGGAAGATAAGTCACCGGCATGGACAAAGTTCAGGGGTTTGCTCTGCTCGTAAGAAAGAAGAAGGGAAGGCCTGGGGCGGAATAAGAAAAAGGAGGAAGAACAAGAGAAATACAGAACAAGAAGGGAGGTACCAGAGGAAGAAGAAACAAGAACCGGCGAGAAAAGAGAGAAGAAGGGGAGAGAAAGAAAGAGGCTGGCGGAAGAAGGTGAAAAAAGGAGAAAAAAGAAAATGAAAAATTAAAAAATAAGCCAGGTAGACAAGTGACTGGTTGACCGGCAATTAACCTCTTAAATTTCGATTTTGAATGTTTTTGTAAAGTTTGAGGTCTTAATTGATTGTGTTTTTAGTTCGGGGGCTTAATTGGTTTTTTTGAATACTTTGGGGGCCAATTTGATAGTTTTCCCTTTTTACACATTTCTCCAAACATTTTTTGTAACATAAGTGATGCATGTTTGAGCTTGCTATCTGTTAGGTAAATCCATTTCAAGTTCTGTAGAGTTGCAAAATAAAGACTTGCCTGACTCATCCGGGGTCGCAAAACGGGGTTCTGCTCTATACACAATGATGCGGTCAAAACCACTCGACCCATCTGCTGTTTATCATAGGCATTACAAAGAGCAGGATCCACAAGTCCCTCAACATCATCACTATCAAGGAAAGGCTTTGCCTAAAATTGGATCCACACAAAATAGTGCTAGTAAAAAACTCGGATTGAATTAATACTACTACTGTCCCACAAAGATTTGCCATGTTCTACTAATTTGGTCGAATATTTTATCTTTTCAACTAATAAATTTTTAGGGACAAGTAACACATATAATCATATATCCTTAAACTATACGACAAATAATATATATACCCCTTATCTGTTTTGAACAGTTAAGCACAAAAATTGTAAGATTGAGACAAATATATACCCATGAGGTATTAGAGAACGCACACTCTAGAGGTCTTAACTATTGGACAAAAAGGTATAAATGTTCTTTAATATATAATTCAAACTTTTATGAAACTTCAAAACATTTTTGAGACTTTGTGTTTAAATGCTCAACAGGAAAATTGGCGGGTATATGTATTCTCCCCAAATTAGAGTTCAAAACAGGCATATTTGTATTTTCTCCTTATATTTTTATATAAATGGTTATAATATAAAAGTAATATAAACAATTTCATTTGCGTAATACTCTCATAGAAGTACAAAAATAATAAATTTCACATAAATATATTGATAAAAAACATTAGTCGGGGTTTAACAAGTTTGACAAAAAAAAGTCAAGCATTGCAAATTTTTGTGGAAAAGAGGTAGCAAGGAGAAGGTGACTTAAGACTTGGACAAGCTTATATAGTTATATACCCAAAGCACAATACTTTTTTGTGTATCATCGACTGCTGGTCGACCTGTTATAATCTCCAAAAGCAACACTCCAAAAGAAAAGACATCCGTTTTCTCGTCCACCATGCCATGCATAAAGTATTCAGGAGCAAAATAGCTATCAGTGACAGGAAAAGATTAATTTAGCGTTTCCATATCTTACACAGTGGGCAATATCAAGATTTACAGTGCTTCTATACCCAAAAGTGCCTTCAAAATTTGATACATTATGATGGGTCCATTCCTTGGGAAGCCATTTTGCTAGGCCAAAATCACATATCTGCATTAATATTCAGCATTGCGTTTAATAATAGTTTCAAGATCGTTATAAACAATTCAGTATTCAGAGTTATACTGTATGTTTCGAGCAATAGCAGAGGGTATTTTAAATTAAGACATTATTATATATCATGCATCCCGGTGCATTATAGCTTTTGCCTACATTAAATTCAAAATTATATATTTTGTTAATGCTCTTCAACAATGGATGGTTGAAATACCAACAAAAGATATAACAGACCTGCAGCGATTACAATTGACTGGCTTCCCACTTTTCCACATCTAGAAACCATTACGTCTGTTTGGAAACCCCGGAAAATACTAGGGAAAGGAACCACTAGTAACTAAGAACTATATAGGAAATATGGGAAGAGAAAATGTGGGGGTGGGGGACACAACACCGGTTCCAGGTCAATGATAGAGACCCGGTCCATTCTAATAAGGAGGACAAATATTATGGCAGAGTCTATTCGAGAAGGAGGAAGTAGTATAGTTGTTATTTCATTAAACAACTTTGTAACTACTTTCTGTTAGAGGGTTGCCTATAAATAGAATAATCCGGGGAACCGGGAGATAGGTTGTTTTTTGGACTTAAGTCTTGATTGGGAAGATTGAGTATTATCTCTTTCTTTGGAAACTCTGTACTTTGCTTACGCACATCAATATTCTGTTCTTGAGTGTGTTTTGAATCTCTATCTCTTTACTTGTGTTGATTCTTGTTAGAAGTACTATTCCTGATCTGGACAGTTTCTAACATTGGTATCAGAGACATCGATGCTGTGAATGGTGGGAATGAGAAAGAAAATGGAAGGAAGAATAACTGAAGTGGAAACGAAGTACGACAATCTAATCGCTATGATGACGGCAATGCAGGCTGGCATCGCGAAACTCCAAAACAAGCAATCCGATCGATCCAGAAGTCGATCGCATCATTCCACGACATCACACCATCGTCGTCGACACGCGAAGGACACAGACAACTCAGAGGGGTCGGATCCTCGATCGGAGCATTCCGATTCGCGTATACATCGCGATTCACGCAGGTGTCACCGTCATCAACATCCGGTAGGTAAGAAAATTGACCTACCTCTATTCAATGGCGATGATGTGTTTGGTTGGTTGGTTCGGATGAACCGCTACTTTCGTCTGAACCAGACCGACGAAGAAGATAAAATTGATGTAGCAGTGGTTGCCCTGGAGGACCAAGCTTTGAGCTGGTTCCAATGGTGGGAAGGACAAGCTCGACATCAAACTTGGGAGGCTTTTACCACTGCGTTGTCCAAGCGATTTCAGCCTGAATTGGTGCAAGATCCGTTGGGACCTCTTCTCAGTTTAAAGCAGAGAGGAACAGTGATGGAGTACAGGACTGAATATGAAACTGCGATAGCATCTAAGGGTCATTTAACTGAGGAAGTCTTGAGAGCAATTTTCTTGAAGGGTCTACAACGTCATGTTAGGGCGGAGTTGAAATTATATAGTCCCAGAACATTGGCAGAAGTCATGGATACTGCTTCCATGATAGAGAAAAAGTATTCTGAAACCTTATATATGAGGGATAAGGAGGAAAGAAAGAAAAAAGGGCATAGCAAGGACAACAGTCATTATCAGGGCCAGAATTGGGGAAATATCAGTAGATGGAGGAGCAATCATGTAAATCCAAGCAACCTGGCAAATGGAGGAAAGAGGGAAAATGACAATAAAAGCCACCAAGATACGAAGGAAGGAAGTCTGAAGAGAATTGGTCCCAAGCTATCACAGGAAGAGTTACTTGACAGGAGCAAGAAGGGTTTATGTTTTAAATGCGGAGAAAAACGAGGTAAGGGCCATATTTGTAAGATGAAACATTACAAAATGATACTGGTTGAAAATTCAGAAGGTGAAGAAACTACTGATGTTGAATCCATGGATTCAGAGGAAGATACAGGGATTGAAATGGAACACAAAGCTATGCAACTATCAATTCTGAGTAAAGAAGGCATAACTGATATGAAGACTTTTAAAGTGAAAGGGAGGATGATATGGTCTGAAGGGAAACAGATGGTGAGTGTGCTGATAGATAGTGGTGCAACACATAACTCCATATCAAAGAGATTGGTGGAGAAGGGAAATATTCCTTATAGTCCTATACAAGGATAAAGGGTACAGATTGGAAACAGATCATGTATTCCAAACACTGGTAGATGTACTAGAATAAAGCTGAAGATTCAAGGGTTGGAAATTCAACAAACTTACTATATCTTAGACCTGGGAGGAACTGATATAGTGTTGGGACTGGAATGGCTTACTGGGCCGGGAGACATGGAAGTTAACTTCAAGAAGCAGTTTATCAAATGGGAACAACAAGGGAAGGTCCATAACATCAAAGGTGCTACAGCTTTGAATCAGATAGAGGTATCCTTAAAAACCATGGTTCAATTACTGCAGCAATCTGGAAATGGATACTTACTGTATTTGGAGGGCCACTTGAAGGAAATGGAGCAAAATTATGAAAATCCTGAAGAAGACTGGAATAAAGTGATATCTGAATTTCCAGAAGTGTTCACACCTCAACTGAAATTTCCACCTGCAAGAGCATGTGATCATGCCATTACTATCAAAGAAGGAGCAAGCATACCCAACCTCAGGCCCTACAGGTACACATATGACCAAAAAATGTGATTGAAAAGATTATTGATGAAATGATGAAAGCTGGAATAATAAAAAATAGTAATAGCCCATATAGTAGTCCTGTGTTGTTAGCTAAGAAGAAGGGCGGGGGCTGGCGATTTTGTGGAGACTATGGGGCTTTGAATAAGGTGACAGTACCTGATAAATTCCCCATCCCAATCATAGAAGAATTGTTGGATGAATTAGGAGGTGCAGTGATATTTTCTAAACTGGATCTTAAGTCTGGATACCAGCAGATCCAGATGAAGGCTAGTGACTCTCATAAAACTGCCTTTAGATCCGTCCACGTTTCAATCTTTGATGAATGAAGTGCTGAGATCATTTCTTAGGAAGTTTGCATTGGTGTTTTTTGATGACATCTTAGTCTATAGTAAGACTAGAGAAGCACATATAGAACATTTGAGATTGGTTCTGGGAGCTCTAAAGAAGAACCAGTTGGTAGCAAATATGAAGAAATGTTCCTTTGGGCAAGAAAAACTGAGTTATCTTGGCCACATTATTTCTGCCAATGGGGTATCAGCAGATTCTAGCAAGATTGAAGCCATGCTTAACTGGGCTATACCCAAAGACTTGAAAGAATTAAGAGGTTTTTTGGGTTTGACAGGTTACTATAGAAGATTTGTCCAAGGATACAGCCACATTGCAGCACCTCTAACTAACTTACTGAAGAAGAATGGCTTTAACTGGGATAATAAAACACTTAAAGCTTTTGAGGATCTCAAGGTTGCAATGACTACTATACCTGTGCTCAGAGTACCAGATTTCAGTAAAATATTTGTGATTGAAACTGATGCATCTGGAAAGGGGTTAGGGGCAGTCTTGATGCAAGAGGGAGGCCCAATAGCATACATGAGCAAGGTATTATCTCCTAAACAGTTGACTAAATCAGTATATGAAAAAGAGTTAATGGCAATTGTATTTGCCATTCAAAAGTGGAGACCATATTTGCTAGGGAGGCAATTTGAAGTGCATACTGATCAAAGAAGTCTGAAGTATATAACTGAACAGAAGATAATGGGTGAGGACCAACAGAGATGGATAGCAAAACTTATGGGTTACAGTTTCGTCATTAAGTACAAACCCGGATGTGAGAATAAGGCGGCAGATGCACTGTCAAGAAAATCTCAATTGGCAGCACTGTCCATAGTTCAGTGTCTGGAATGGGAGGGATTAGAAGATGAGCTGAAGTCAGATCCTAAATGCCATGACATTATTCAGAAAATAATGAGCCAACCAGATCTGATGACTGAATTAAAACTGAGAAAGGGATTGCTATATTATAAAGGAAGACTGATGATACCTAAAGGATCTCCCAGAATCAACAAGATCCTTAAGGAGTACCATGATTCCATAACTGGTGCCCATTCGGGAAATTTCAGAACCATGAAGAGAATATCAACTCTCTTCTACTGGATAAGCATGAGGAAGGACATCCAACAGTATGTACAGAGTTGTGAAATCTGCCAAAGAAATAAGTATCAGGCTTTGAAACCAGCTGGTTTGCTTCAACCCTTACCTATCCCTGAGCAGGTATGGAATGATATTAGTATGGACTTCATTGGTGGATTACCAAAGGCACATGGGAAGGACACCATTCTAGTGGTGGTTGATAGGTTGACGAAGTTTGCCCATTTTATTGCTCTGAACCATCCCTACAATGGCAAGACAGTAGCTGAACTGTTCATCAAGGAAGTGGTCAGACTACATGGGTTTCCAAAATCAATAGTCAGTGATAGGGACAGCCTTTTACTAAGATCATTTTGGTCAGAATTATTCAGATTGGCTGGTACTAAACTAAACTATAGTATAACATATCACCCTCAATCGGATGGGCAAACGGAGGTGGTTAATAGATGCTTGGAGACTTATTTGAGGTGTATTACTGGAAGGAAGCCTAAGGAATGGACTAGATGGCTGCCCTTGGCAGAATACTGGTACAACACTAATTACCACATATCACTGAAACAAACTCCTTTTCAAGCTTTATATGGACAAAATCCACCTGCACTTGTGAAAGGAGATGTAAACCTTACAGCTGTAGAGGAGGTGGCCAGATTAACAGCTGAAAGGAACCTGATGTTGGATGAAATTAGGGAGAATCTAGCTGTCGCTCAAAACAAGATGAAACAAAAAGCTGACAAGCATAGGAGAGAAGTGAAGTTTGAAGTAGGAGAGCATGTCTTCTTAAAGATTCAGCCTTATAAGTTGCAGAGCCTGGCTAGAAGGATGAACCAGAAATTGAGTCCTAGATATTATGGACCTTTCGAAATTATGGAGAAGTTGAATGATGTTGCTGTTAAATTGAAATTACCAGAGCACAGCCTCACACATCCTGTATTCCATACCTCCCTGCTCAAGAAAGTTGTCTCATCTAATACTATATGTCAGCCTTTACCCTACTGTATGAATGAGAACTGGGAATTACAAGTGCAACCGGAAAGAGTGGTGGATGCAAGAAGAACACAAGATGGAAGTACTGAAGTTTTGATACACTAGAAGGACCTACCGGAGTTTGAAAGGTCTTGGGAGGATGCACACATGATAAAACAACAATTTCTGAGTTTCCAGCTTGGGGACAAGCTGTTTCTTGAGGAGGGGAGTTTTGATAGAGACCCGGTCCATTCTAATAAGGAGGACAAATATTATGGCAGAGTCTATTCAAGAAGGAGGAAGTAGTATAGCTGTTATTTCATTAAACAACTTTGTAACTACTTTCTGTTAGAGGGTTGTCTATAAATAGAATAATCCGGGGAACCGGGAGATAGGCTGTTTTCTGGACTTAAGTCTTGACTGGGAAGATTGAGTATTATTTCTTTCTTTGGAAACTCTGTACTTTGCTTACGCACATCAATATTCTGTTCTTGAGTGTGTTCTTGAATCTCTATCTCTTTACTTGTGTTGATTCTTGTTAGAAGTACTATTCCTGATCTGGACAGATTCTAACAATCAAATATACTTTTCTGTTCAAACTCATCTTATTGATTGCATTATATAAAGGCTAAGAAAATAAATATATCATATTTGATATTTCATTTTCATTGCATGTTCTGAGGCAAAACCAAACAAAAGTAATAAATTTTCTTAACATATGTTTTCCACTTTCTATTATTTTCCAAGATTCAAATATTTCCTTGGGTGCTTGGATTTTATTTATTCTCTTATTAGCATGAAAAACATCATAGAACTATACTTCCTCCATCACTTAAAACTTACGATATTTCCTGATTTAGCAATCCCAAAAAACTTTGCCAATCCCATTTAAAGTAATAAATATGTGGTCAAAGTTATTTCTCTCCTTTGCATACATCTCATCCACACAGTTTTTAATTCATTATTATTCCGCGTGCAAGTCAACTTTGGCCAAATTTTATGGGACAAAGGAAGTACATAGTTTTTGTACTCGTGCATGTGCTCACTAGACTACAATGACCAAAAAAATATGTGGGTTCACTTCTATTTAAATGAGGGGTTCTCTTTTAAGGGAAGTTAGGACATAAAGTAAGATTAAAGAAAACATATTATAGTTTCTAGAACGTCTTCAGCTTTTGGCTTGAAATATCCTTTTCGAAGCCATAGATCATGATGAGAATAAGCCAATAACAAGGAAATAGGAAGTAATGAATGATCAATGATTTTCTCATTATATTCCTGATATGTATAACTTCTATAGGTCTAGTAATGTTGTTCAGATTAAGCCCTGACTCTACTAAATAGTGTTTTTAGGAGCATGTTGGCTATTACTCTGTTAAGTTTGAAAACCTTTTAGTGTTTCTTTTTAATAGTCATATCCATACTAAGAACATATAAAGGTACATGTATCATCAAGAATTTGCAAATCCACTTAGTTAAAATTACTACATCAGTATCAATGACATGAAGGCAAAAAAAAAGACATGTGTTTTTTACAATTAAGATTGAAAGATACCTCTGGCACAAAATCCTCTGTAAGTAGAATATTATCAGCTTTGATGTCTCTATGAATAATCCGTCTTCGGCAATTCCCATGAAGATAAAGCAGGCCATCTGATATACCTAGAATGATTTTATGCCTATTCTCCCAATGCAGTGTTTCCTTTGGACCTGAGATGAGCATATAAACACTCAACATCCACTTTAATAAGAAAATATAACACTTTTTATAAAATGAAACATATGAGAGCATAAACTAAAGAAACATTTTTACATATACCTTCAAGAAGTGACCTTAAACTCCCTTTCGATGATAACTTAAGGACAATATAAGTCCCCCCCTCAACTCCATACCCAATCATCTTTGCAGTATTAGGATGATCAACATGTGCTATAGTTCCAATTTCAGATAGAAAGTTTCCTTCTTGGTCTTCCAATGATCCTTTATTCATGCGCTTAACTGCTATGAGCTGGCCATCTGGCAAGCATCCCTTGAAAACCTCAGCATACCCTATCTTTCCAATCAAGTTTTCTATCAAAATAAAGAAATTAATTAAATCTACAAGTAAATAGTCTCAATCCTTGCCCCCACGAAATGGACACGAAAATTTAAAAAAAAATGCTATGTGTATAACAAGTGTTTTTCACACATACAAGATTTTGTTTGTGCGGTTTTGTATTTCTGAGAACAAAAAAAAATACAAAAAAATTACACAATCTACTCCCATAAGCATAAACTATTTTGTTTGTGTGAGCAAAACTTGTGAACTTGAACAAATTGGTTGTACCAAGCACGACCCATAAAAGCAAACTTTTCTCTGGTAAAAACATTCAGAATAAAATATAAGCCATGAGGCCATTACATTGAACAAAAGACATCTCTACAAAACTATAAGCATGAATCAAGGTTGGGATATTTTGGGTATTAAAAATTTGTTGGTGGTACATCATAGCTTAATAAACATGTACTATGTGCTTGAATTGATGTACTCGATTTTATACTTTGCTCAAGTCTGATCTCTCCGTCTATCTACGGTCGTTAGGAAAACATCTGGATAAATTCAATCTCGATTATTCCTTTCAATTCCATAACGTGCCCATTTCACCACATCGATTAGGTTAGGCGCCGGCTCTACTCATCTCCTTCTTCCTATTGTTTTCATCGCGCGGCAGGGGTTCCGCGCTGGAAGATTATCGCCAGCTCTACTCATCTCCTTCTTCCTATAGTTTTCATCGCGTGGCAGGGGTTCCAGATTCTCTTCCGCTGCATAACACCTATGCAGGCACCCTGATTCGGTACGGGCGGATGTGATTGCAAAAATCATCGATCGTCTAGGATTAGCAAAAACTATGTTTGAAGCATCAAGTCCTCAAATCTCACAATATGGTCTTAGAATGGGTTGTCAAACTAAACTACCCAATTTGAATCCTTGTGAGAATTTCTTGATCGAGTCAGTTTGGTAATGCCTATAATGGTTGAAGATGAGGTCATAGCTGCTAAAATTTTGGTTTAAATGATTGATTTATCTAAACTTAGAATCGTTAATACATAGTAGTATTCTTGAAATAAACTTTAAGGAAATACTCCGTAATATAATGAGAGTTGGAATTACATCTTCACTTATTTATGGTACAAAGTCACCTCATCATCTGACTCACTCACTCACCTCTACTCCACTTTTTTCATTATAAGCCGATTCAGCTAATGTGGTGAAATCAATTAGAGTTTTGGTAGGAAATCCAAGTTATGAGAATAAAAAGCTCTAACTAAAGAGACACTTGATGTTAATCTGAACTCTTTTACGGATTGTGGTTTTTAGGTGAACTTTTTTGTGGATCATTCTCAAGTGATGAACCTGGAATGCCTTAGGGGGTGAAACCTTGGTAAAAATCACTCCTCCATTCTGGATTCTTCATATTTCCTATTCTGATCTAGCGTTGGCATGGAGGATGCGTCTTAATGCTATCTATCTTTGATCTCTTAAATATGACAATAATGATGTGATGCTCTGTACGTCCTAGCTTGATCCTCAGTATCATGTTAGAGATGCAAAAATTGAAAGGAAACTGATAGCTTATCAGTTGACTTCATGCGGACATAATATTCTCATAAATACATTCATGTGAAAAAGTGAAGATATATTGCTTGGTATATGTTTAGATAATACTCTGGTTTGTATAAAAAGTGTTTTAGGTTTTTTCTTTAGGTCTCATAGAGCACGTGATGTTGTAGTTTATTCTCATAGAAAAATGCTAACAAATATTAGTATCTCATTTAATTATTCATTGTGTGTGCTTAAATAATAACTTGGGTGGAGAATATATGTGTGCTCTAAGTATTACCATTCTGATGAGAGTGTTACTCATGTTACTAAGTATTGATTTAAGATACTAAAGCTTTACCATTGATTACAAGAATTGAATGAGCAGATGTGTACTCTGGAAGTTAAGGTCTTTTTTGGCAAGTGGCGGCCGGGCTTCCAATGGAGTTGATGTCTTGAGGAGGAAACATTTGGAAACACAGAGATGATGTGGTTTGGAATGCCGCTGGATTTTCAACAGAAGGAATTTGGAGGACTGCTCTAGCAGCTCTTGATGGCTGGAAAGCTGCCTAATAATAAGGATTTATGCCATTTCCTTATACCTTGTACAGAAAGTCCAATTACTCCAATAGACACTACTATCCGAGGGAACCCAGGAACTCAATGATGAATTGAAGGTCAAATCCTATGAGCTTGAAAAGTATTTAGTGAACATAAACTTTCCCTTAAAAAACAAACCTGTAAGAAAACCGGTAAAATCTGAGCTCATCATAGTCATTAGTAACTATATTGCGCATAACTTAAACCCCAAACTTGGCTAGATAAGATTCACCGCAAGATCCCACAAGAGGCAGATTCAAGGATGCCAATTTGTCCTGCTTTTATTTTCAAGTAATCAATGTTAAAAATTATAAACATAGTTTGGTGTCTATGTAGTTAAAGTTTTAAGGTGGAAATTGCATGCTAAAATAATAAATTTTAATCAAAATGATGTCTTATATTAGGGGCTGAAATTTGAACATCAGACAAACTCCGCAAAATCAATTCTCACACGTATATGGGCTACTAACTACCAAGTACCAAATAGAGCCTCGATGACTCTGTTTCAAGTAAATGATGTGGTTTTGAATCCCTTGGGTTATACGCTAAAAATGCATTTTCCTTCAACTTCATTTCCCCGAGATGTATAATGATGTCAAGTTTTGTCAACTTGACATCATTGTAACAATTTGAAAGATGTTGCCACAAAGTTATAATGAAACGGACACAATAATACTCCCTCCGTCCCCCAATTAAGTTCCTGTTTTGACTTCACACATATTAAGAAAATAAATTTGACTTAATTGTGGAGTGCACTGTTTTGCACTGTTTAAACACTGTTTGACACTGTTTGGCACTGTTTTGCACTATTTGACACTGTTTTGATGTAGATAATTTGCCAAATAAGGAAAGTATTGAAGTGTGAACTTAATTTAGGGACTGCCCAAAAAGGAAAGTGGGAACTTAATTGGGTGACGGAGGGAGTAGATTACAATCACAACTAGAAAAAAATAAAACAAAAATGTCTTCATGTTCAGAAGTTCAACTGTTAAATCCTCATATGTTCATCAAATCAGGACAACAACGTGGACACATGGATGTAAATTTTTACCACTTGAGTTTAAACAATTACGAAGACCATGTTTGTTCCCAACATCTCTAAGATAACTCACATTTCAAACATCATGAGCATATTTCTATCAATTTAATTAATTACGAGATACGAGTCAAAAGATCTCATATGTGTGATTTTATGCAAACAGTATCATCAAAATAATGACATGATAGGGTATCTTAATATTAATATTTCACAAATCACATTGGGCATTTTTTTATCGCGCAACGCGCGTAACAAAACTAGTATAAATATAAGTTGAAACCTTTATAGAAATGGTTGGTTGCTGTCTTCAGCTCAAGCAGTGAGAAAATTGTCAAGGAAGGTTTTATCGGGCACAAATTAAAGTCTACATTTTCTCTCATGCTTTTGAACTTTCTTCTTGACATCCTTGTCGCAAAAGGTGGGAAGGAAGGTAGCCGCTTAATGGAATTTTTTTTCCACAACTTGAAGAATTTATGCCACCGTGAACGTATTCGTGAATTTAATGAATGGACTACACATTGAGATCCATTACTTCTTTCATGAGATTCAACATGTTTGTTTCCTCGGAACCTTATGCAAGCCTTAATAATCCCCCTTGGAGAGGACTCATCCTCCTCCTCATTTTCAACTTCAAAGCATCTCAACTCTATATCAACATCATCATTAAAAGAAATAGCAGGGTTTAGTTGCAACTTGACGTTTCATCTAAAAAACAAACTCGATATGAGGATTAATGCTAGACGACTAGACCCTAGACCTAATATATGAGGTAATGTCTTTAAATTTCGTTGGTGAAGGATATCTTATTATCTTAACAGTTGACGCAACTAGAATGAGTGTGCCGCAAAGGCATACATAGCTCATGCTACCTTGGGCAGAAGCAGAGGATGATAGTGTGCGGCAACTTTTGCTTCTAGCTTCCACCACCAGGTTTTTGCTTGATTTGGTGCATTTTCCTTCAGTCAGTTTCCTACAATACAATTACATTGTGAATCTGTGGTGTAAAAACAAAGGGAGAAGAACGTGTATACAAGGCTTTCATTTAAGTTTTCAAAATCAAATTGACTGAATTAAATGGGTTGAGATGAAGTATGAGGTTACCAAGCTAGCATCTTTGGATTTTAGAAACCCGCTATTTAACTCTTCAAAGAGAAGTATATAGAAAATCAGAAACAAAAAGTGAAGAGAAATAATAACACAATATCTCCCATAATTAGGAAGCATGCAAATGTTACTTATACAAGGAGAATTTACAATAATGAACTAAAACCCAACCTGTGCACACCATTAAAATCTGCACGTAGCAAAACAAAAAAGCCTTATTCATATAGAATCACATGCCACATTTTTATATAAATAATACATAATCTCCCTAAATTCTTAAATGTTTTGAAATTTTAATGAACCCTTCATTTCACAGAAGCATTTTATATCTAAAGCCAACTTCTTGCACAATACCCAGAAAGCATTTACTGGAATTTAATCACATAATAAAGAACATAAACGCAAACATAGCCAAATATTTACATTTCCCAAACACATATCAAGAGAGGGAGAGGAAAGCTCACAGAGGAAGAGAAGGAAACTGGTGAGGGGCCATTAGAGGAGCTCCAAGATGCTCCGCGAAGAACGAATGGAGAGGTAAGAATCAGGCTGTGAGGTTGTAAGGACATTGTGGAATACCTAAAGTCAGAGTTTGCCCGACCCCGACCCCGAGGTCGGGAAAATGTTGAGCACAGAAATCATCCAGAGACGCCAAACTAATAAGCGAATTCATTCAGAGACGCTAATTCTAATAAGCTACTTCCCTTACGAGCTAGTATGAGGTCGGCCGGGCTA